AAGAAAACTGGATATGTACTTATGTCAACACATATTTATATATATAGGGGGCCTGGAGAGGTAGAAAAAATTGATATTTGTTAATAAGCATACCTTACTTGATTAATCAGAAAAAATCTAATACCCAAAGTGCTATTTCTTAAACATGACAGTAAGGGCAAGATCTGTGCAGTATGAAAGACTGCCTTTAGTTATTCCTCCTTCTAGGCTCTGGGGCTTGGCAGAATAGATTGTGAAGGAGACCAACAAGGTCACAGACCTCAAAACCCCAGGCTGCCCACCAACTCTACCAAGGGGTTTGTATCCTTTTTTTTTTTTTTTTTTCAAATTATATGAGCTGTGTTGTTGTTGTTCTTAGGAAAACTTTCAGTGACTCAGTGGGCTTTTTCTATGGAGAGCATTTTGGGGCTGAATTTACCATGGAGAACCCTGAGTATGCATCTGGTCAAAGTAGACAAAGATGGATACGCTGACTACATGACCAGTTTCCAGGATATCCGCATTGAAAAACCAGTGAAAGAGGCAAGTAACACATAGCCCCAGCTATGAGCTGGCTGGGCCAAAACACCCTTTTTTTACAATCTCTAAGTAATTTAGTCTTTTGAAAAGTTGAAAGTAAAATCATGCAATGAATGGGAGTGGTGATCTTAGGAAAGGCAAAAAGAGAATCTCCCAAGGACACTATGATCTGTTCATGAAATGTGTGCATTCTAAATTAGGCAAAAAGAAGAAAAGGCTTAATCAAGATAATCTATGTATGCGGCTCTTATTTTAAATACTGTCAAGCAGAAAGTAGACATGACATCTATTCTTTCATGCAGCATACCATTCAAAATAATGTTTTTCCTAACAACATGTAGGCTTGCTGACCTGATGCAGACTATCTTAAGAAGTTAAAAATGTAACTTCCTTTATTAAAATGGGAACAGCCCAGAGAGAGGTATCAGATCCCAGCATTCATTTGTTAGCAGTTCATCAGCAATTAGTTATATTATTGACACGATTGAAGCTAGAACTTGCATGTTTGTAGGGAAGATAAGAAGAATGGAGTAGGGAAATAGTGCTAGCTAGAATCTAAAATGAAAATTTTGTACTCACTTCAGAGACAGTTTGCCATGGTGACTAAAATCATAGGCCTTGGCTTCAGAAAACTAAGGTTCAAATCCCACTTAATAGCTGCATGACCTTACAGAGGGAAATTGTCCTGATTTGTAATCTGTAAAGTGGGTATAATACTGAGTTTGGTTCCTATTCCTTTAAGACTGTAGAGGACTGAATTAATTAATCCACATAAAGCTTGCTGTAAAAGTTGGCAACCATTATTTTCTGCTGCCTTGTTTATGTTGGTCCCTTAAGGAACACAAAAGCAGGGTTTTTTTTTATCTGATTACAGATCATTGGGCCAATAGAAGGCTTGCCTTTTCCAATTTTTACCTAAATCACCTATTTTGAATGGCTAGTGATTGTTTTGTTTGTTACATTTGCTAAAACTAATGTGTCATTAATTCTGTATATTTTAACACTTGGAAAATCTTTATTTTAGGCTGAATCTGCTATAATTGAAACGCTGTATAGATACCGAACTGACCTGCAAATTATATTTAATATCATTGATTCTGATCGCTCAGGTAAATGAACTCAGATTGGTTCAGTAATAGTACAAAGCAAAACTCTGTTTCTCCAAAATCAGAACTCTTTTCATCCATTTCATTTTTCATCCAAACTTTATGAAACTCTAAGAGAGTTGTTATTGTTATTTTAGATGGGCCACATAGTCTATACTCAAGAGCACAGCATTCTATAGGAGCCTGTGTAGCCACTGGTCAAACTGGGGCAGTCTCTTTAGTTAATCACCAGCACAAATATAAAGATAATTCACTTTCCATTTTAATGTCTTAGTTACCCTGAAATAAAAAACGAAACCTTATAGAGTTCTGATTCAGTGTTAGAGACTAAGAGCTATGGAAATTCATTGTTTATTTAACTTTCAATGCATAGTTACTTATTTGTTACTTATTTTCAAACGTAAAAAATATATTGGGCTGGGGATGTAGTTTCAATGGTTGAATGCTTGCCTACTATCCACAAGGCTCTGCGTTCAAAACCCAGCATCACATAGTCACAAATCAGATACCCCCCTACTGCAGACATCTTTAAACACACACACACACACACACACACACACACACACACACACACACACACCAGTAACTGAAAAGTATTGCCTATTGTTTTCAATCCTCTTACTAACTCCCAGAGTCTCCCTCTGCTTTGATATTGTTCTCTTGTTTGCCGTCATTCCATGTTCCTCCCCCTTAGGTTTCAGTTCTTATCATTTTTATACCACATGTAGTTCCATAGTCCACAGTCCATCACTATTTACTTATTCTAGCTTTGGAATAACTCAGGATCACTTGGCAGTTGAAAGTGGCATGCTGTTGCTTACACTGATGATCTTACTTTTTCATGTCCTTTATTGCCTGGATGGTTAGGAATGTTAATGAGCCTCACATTGGAACTATTCAATTCACATGACTTTCCCATGTCTATCCTAGGTAGATGTTGACATGAATACTCACTGTCTTCTATGTTCTTTTAGGCCAAATATCCATGGAAGAATTTCGGAAAATGTGGAAACTTTTCAGTTCTCACTACAATGTCCAAATTCATGATTCTCAGATTGATGAGCTTGCCAACACAATGGACTTAAACAAAGATGGAAGCATTGACTTCAATGAATTTTTAAAGGCTTTCTATGTTGTGCATAAGTATGAGAAGGATAACATATCAAATACCAAGCATTCTCGCTACCAGTAAAGGCTTCCTCTCGGGCTCCTATAAACAGCTGAACTCAAATAATACTCTTTCCAGGACTCTTGAAATTCAAAGTAATAGACAAAAAGTAGACTCCCTATATATGCCACAAACAGACTGAATGCTTGAAACCCTTAACAACCTGATTTGGTAAGATAAGGTTAAACATCAGTTGGTAGGATTTGCCTCCAGTGGTAGGATTCATACATTGCCAGTTAGAAACTTCGTTTGAGCCTTTTGTGGATTTCTTGGATGCCATCGAACTGAGAGACCAGTGCAGATTAGAACCATGCTGAGAGGAAAGCAGAGGACCAGAGAAAACTATGAAGTGCAACATCTGGAAGTGACCGAGGGAAAAGGAATAGCAAACTATTAATAAAATAAGCTGCTTCCATATTCAAAGTGGTATACTTTTTTGAGATTCCATAAACCACTAATCCTCTGGTGGGAGAAACAGCCTTCAGGGAAGGGATCCGTATCAGTTTCCTGTGGGAAACTATAGAAAAAAAAGTCTATTTTTGTGTTAGAGATCAAAGTCAATGTATTCACATTGAGTCCTATAATTAATACTATTTAACATCATTGATAAGATGACTTGATTATATAAATATTGTAAAATTCTGTTATTCTGATTTAATATCAAACATAGTAAGAGATTTCTGTTTATAGGTAAGTATAGGTTTCATTTTTTTTAAGTTTTAGGACTTTAGGATCTAGAAACAAATCTGAAAGTCCCCTGCTACACACTTCAGACATAATGGCTAAAATACAGTAAATGTCTTTTTTAAGTGTATAACAGAGCTTACAGAAAATTAAAAGAAAACCCTGGGGGGCAGAAAAAAGAGCAGAATGAAAATCATAGCAATAGTAATATCAGACAGGATAAATTTGCCGGGGAGATGGCTCAGTAGGATAAGCACTTGACTGGCAAACGCAAGGATCTGAGTTCAATCCCCGGTTCCAAAAAAAAAAAAAAAAAAAAAAAAAAAGACAGGATAAATTTTGCAGCAAATGTGTCATTAGGGGTCAAAAAGATCATTATTCACCAGGTGCCGTGGTGCATTCCTCTGTTCCCAGATGCTTGGGAGGCTGAGGCAGAAAGATCACAAGTTTGAGCCCAGCCTGAGAAATTTGGTGATTTAATGAGACCCTGTCTCAAAATAAAATTAAAAAGAAGGTGGGAGGGGATATAGCTCAGTACTCCTTCTGTTCAGCCTCTGATACTATAAAACATGCACACATACACGTACACACACACGAACAAAATCATTTCAGTGCTTTGCTATATTTCCAACAACAGTGCTAGGGATTGAAGCCCAGGGTTGTGTGCTCCCTAGGTGAATGTGCCCTACTACCAAGCTAATCAATCTCCAGCTCCAAAAGATCATTACTGAATGGGAAAAGCAATAATTTACCAGGAAGACTTAAAAATTATAAATACATATAATAACAAAGATTTAAAATTTTTAATACAAAATTGATATAACTGCTAGACTGAATTGCTAAAAGGGGATATTAAATACAACAAATTCAATAATAGAATATGGAGATAAGAAATCAGTGTATAGAAGATGGGAGAGCCCAATTAGTTCACTTGGTAGTGTGTAGGTATTTGTATACTGTTTGTATTTAGGTGTGTTTGTGATAAATATATACACAAACAACTCTGCAATCAATTTTAGAGAATATGCATTTATAAAAACTGTCTACAAATCTCCATACCAAATAATCAGTAACAAAAATATTCTTTCATTATAATCCTATTAAGTTAAAAAGCAATATAAAAATAACCATATTATTATATGACTACAAAAGGAATATAATTATAGATATACTAGAAAACACTGACAAAAAAGTTCACAAGAATTATGTGAATGCCTTTTGGCTAATAAGTTTTTTATTTTTAATTCTTGAAATAAAAATTTTAACTGCTATATAAAACAAAAATTGCATGCATTTATGGAGTATCACAAGATGCCTATAATTTTTAAAACTAGATGAATGGACTACTTCCTCAGGAAAAACAGAATTTACTAAAGCTAATTCAGGAACAAAATGATGATCTGAAGAGATATATAATCACTGGAGAATGTGATGGCCTTATAATGGGTCACATTGGCTAGGATGAAATTCCTTTCTCAGAATTTTCTTTCTTACACGTTTCTGGTAAGAGTGGGCCACAAAGGAAATTCTCAAGATTGGAAGGCAAGAGGGAAGTACACACACATGATGTTGCTGATCTCCTATGTCACCTTATTGGCATGAAGGAGCAGTAGGCTTATGATTTCTGTACCTTCCCTGGATCCTCTGCTAACCCCTTTGATATCTGGGCTGCTTAGTGCCATCAATCAATGTCTCTCTCTCTCTCTCTCTCTCTCTCTCTCTCTCTCTCTCTCTCTCTCTGTCTCTCTCTATCTATCTATCTATCTATATACATATATATAGACACACAAATATATAATCAGTATACCCATACATATATACAGTCATGTGCCAACACCAGGACTACTGTATCAGGTTTCACTAGAGGAACAGATTTAATACAATACATACATATGATTATATAAAAGATTTACTAGGTAGGTTTACAAGTAAATCCTCCACCTAGAGGATCATGGGTAGAAAAATGGAAATGACTGTCTGCACACTGCCAAGGGATACAGTTCAAGGTTGAAGGCCTGGAACTCCTGGCAGAGTTTGGTACAAGTCTGCGTCAGAAAGCTGAAGGGTCCAGGTTAAAAGGCAGAAGAGTCTACACTGGAAGGCTGAAGGAACTGGCAATGAACATCCAAAAGCAATGGAGAAGACCAGGGCTCCTCCAAAGAAGAAAAGGGAAGACTTCTGCTTCTTTCCCTTTTTATTCCACCCTGGATATGTCTATTGGTTGGTGTCATCCGCACTGGGGCTGGGTCCTCCCCAGTTTTTGGCCTATGTGCCAGTTATCCACAGACACACTCAAAGCTTTACTAATCTGCTAGGCAGTTCCTAAGTCAAGTTGACATATCACAACAATCACAGCTGCATTCTGATAAATGTATCATTAGGTGATTTAATCATTGTGTGAATATCATAAAGTATTCTTACACAAACTATGATAGCTACAATGTCACAAGTCATAATCTTATAGGACTACTGTATTCATTGATACATTGTGTCAACTTTAGAAGCTTAGAAGTTTAATTAAGTGACTCAGCACAGTGCCAAGATTCTTAGTTGTAAACATCCTCATCCTGTGCAAGAGAAGGGCATGGACATTATGTGAGTTCTACATCCCCACCCCAGGGTAGCTTGTTTATAATACAAGGAGGGGAGAGAGGCTGGCTAGAAGTCACAGCTGCTGCCCTTCTCTTTGCTCTTTGCTGTTTTCTGCTGCCATAAAGTGCTGCTCTCTGCCATGTTCCACTCTGCCTGGGAGCCAGCCAAGTGTAGACTGAAAGCTCCACAAGCTGTGAGCTAAATAAACCTTTCCTTCCTTCATTTTAGGTGTCACATATTTTGTCCCAACAACAAGTAAAATAACTGAGGCCACCACCATTGTATATGCCCTCCCAAAATGTAGTTACAGGTATATGAATGTATACTTTTTCCTCCTGGTTCTGCCTCTGGTTGAACCCTGACTGATGTGGAATTTGGTACGAGAGTGGTTCCAGAGCAACTAAATCTTAAAAATGAGTGCTTTAAATTGGTCCTGAGTGTTCTGGAGTTAGTTTTCTAATCTGATTAGATATAACAGCTCTAATAACCCTCCTTTCAGTGATAAAGTGGGTGCTTTCAGTCCATGGGATGAAGTAGCAAAACAGTTACTCAATTATCACTTTTAATCAAGTATCCACAGAAGGCAAGCCTCTGGGAAACCAAATATAGTATCTGTTACTTTAGAACATTTTAGTCAAAATAAGTATACTAGAGTTGGTTGGCTGCTGTAGTTTCTAGCCTCCAGAACTATGAGTCAAATTTATGCCTATTGTTTATTAATTACTCAATCTGTGGTCTTCTATTATGGTAACAAAGAAAAAAAGACCTAAGTTTTTATTGAGGTGAGGGATCATTGATTGGGAAGAAGGACATCCTGAAAATTAGAAAGAAGATTTATAGGCAGATTCTGAGTCATATCTTCTTTTCCATTGGAAGTATCCCTTCTACCTCTGCCTGAGGAAACTATGCTTTCCCTTTTCCTGAAGAATCCATAATGGCTTCCCTGAAGTAGTAGTCTTCTTGTAGTTAGTACTGGTCAGCTCTCTCTTTCTCTCTCTACCTCCTTCTCTTAAGTGAGGAGAGTGTTTATTGGAAACCAGAAGAAGAAAAGTAGCTCCTGGATGTCCAGGAGGGCTCCTGAGTGGGTTGCCACATGTCCCCTGGATCCAGAGCTTCTAATGGATACGTGGAGTATGGGCATTGCTCAGTTGTTCAGTGGCCACCTTTCACAGGTGGCTCTGCCACCTCCTATGCTGAGTATGCTGATCTGACTCTATGGGGAAGATCAGAGGTGCTTGAAAGAATGAACAGTAAACTTATGGGTAGAATCTAATAATAACCTGTTATAAGAATTAAAATATACAAAGATTAAATGATTATGGTGAATTAATTGAGGGAATATGTGGAGCTAGAGAGTTCTAAAATCTTTGCATTGTCTAGCAGCATAATGAAAGCAACAAGTAATAATAGATTATGATAAATTAAGTACGCATGTTATACTCCCCAAGAAAACTGACTTAAAAACAGCAAAAGTATATAATTTCCAGTTTATAGGGAGAAATGGAAAAATAATTTTAAAAGAAATCAGTACTATAAAATGGAAAACCAAACAAAGAGATAAGTCAAATTAGTAATATAAGTAGATTTAAACCCCAGCATAAGAATTATTACTGATCCATCGGGGAAAAACTGGCTTTGATGGTTTAGAATGACCTCTGACTAAACAAACTCAGGGTTCTAAAGGAAGAGCCATAAAGAACTTGCTATAAAGTAACCAGACCCAGCAGACCTATCTACTAATTTAAGATCCAGAACTATGTTCAGCTGTGATTATCTGAGCCAGATCTAGGCTAGAAAATATTTTCTTGGCTGTGCCTTGCTCAAATGGCTGATACATGCAAATCTATCTAAATAAATGTTGTTCTAAGACACAGTATAAAATTAGTATAAAATTCTGGGGTAGTTTATAATGTGTCAGAACCTACATGATAAGGAAATTGATATCCACAAGTGGAGTGCTGTCCTAAAAAGACCGAGATATGGGTCACTGGCTTAGGGACAAAACATTAGGGCAGAATCTGGAGAAATCAGTTTAGAAACAGCAGAGGCTGAAAAGTGAGCTGGAAACTGATACAGCTGGCCACAAGAATGCCATGTGGTTTTGAAACAATTTCCGAAATAGTGGTCTATGATAGCATGGGAGATGGCAGATAAGGCGTTCTCAGGCAAAATGTTGAAAGTGATAACTGACTGGCCCTGGTTTTGTACAGTACAAGAGAGATGAGGTGAAATAAAAACTTAGTTTACGAGCACAATTTAGGACTATAAAGGGCCGAGGGCAGGCTGAGTTGGAAAATGAAAGTATTTTTTCATCTTTGCTATCCAGCTAGCAAAATCTTTACAAAATAAATTAAAATCAAAAAGCAACTTCTGGAGACAACCCAGGCCACAGGATCCTGAACAGACCCAGAGTGCAGGCCCGGCGAGTGAGTTAGACAACCCAGGGCCTGACGGGATCCTGAACAGACCCAGAGCGCAGGCCCGGGGAGTGAGTGAGACAACCCAGGCTGCAGGATCCTGAATAGACCCAGAGCTCAGGCCGGGCAAGTGAGTGAGATGACCCAGGCCGCGGGATCCTGAACAGACCCAGAGCACAGGCCCAGCGAGTGAGTTAGACGACTGA